AGGTAGTGGCCAATCAGTAAGTCATGAAATCAGTTTAGCTGATTTTGATCAGGTTTTTTAATGAAATGAAATAAAATAGAAAATAATAACATATTGGAAAGGGAGTAATTACTGTTTTGTAAAATTTTCATTTTACTTATATACACATATATTGTCAAATGCATGTACTGGGTCATGATATAAAATGTGTTTCAAATTGTGGTCTTAGTCAAAAAAATATTTGAAAACTACTGATACCTCTCTTCCTCTCACTGCCAATTCTAATCAGCCACCAAAACGTGGTCAGTTGTGGAACTTTTATACCAGTTTGTTTTTCAGTCTCACTTCTGCAGTCTTTTGGTCTACCTGCCTTTACTTCCCTCCTTCAAGACTTCATTCTTACTGTTGCCAGTATTCCAATTCCAGTCACATGATTACCCATTTAAGGAGCTGTCGGTGGTCTTCCATTGCCTTACAATAAAGAGCCCAAACTCCTCCGCACATCATAAAAGGCCTCTTTCAGTTCACAGGTCTTGTCACTCCCATCGAGCTCTTTCATTCCAGACAAGCTAACTTAGAATTTCCTGGAAATGCCATTTCCTTTTACACAGCTAACTGTACTTGCTGTTGGATCTGCCTAAAATAATTTTGTCTATTTTGTTTCAAAACATTTTTTAAATAGAAAGTTTCTCTGAAATCTACTACTTTCTTCTCAAGCATTTACCTGCTCTGTGCTCTGTCAAGCACAATTCTGTCAGCACTTTTATCTTTAGTACATTTTTGTGTGCTTATCTGTGACTCTTATGAAATCCATAAGCATTTGAGGGCAGCACTCATGTTTTCTTTTCCTTTGTTTTTACAATGCCTAAGGCTGGCACTAGGAGGCACTCAAAGATTTATTAAATAATTTTATAAGCGAAAAGTTTCTTATTAGACCTACCTACAAATAGAGTGGCTGCCCTATAAATAGTCAACTCCTTGCCATTGAAAATTCAAGCAGAATCTTGGCTACTATCTTAGTCTTCTTGGGCAGCCATAACAAAATACCATAGACTGAGTGGCTAAAACAACAGAAGTTTATTTTCTCATAGTTCTGGAGGCCGGAAGTCTGAGATCAAGGTGCCTCCATGGCCAGATTCTGCTAAGAGATCTCTTCCTGGCTTGTAGATGGCTGCCTTCTTGCTGTGTCCTCGCATAAGAAAGGGGAAGAAAGCTCTCTCCTGTGCCTTATGAGGGTGCTAATCATCTAAACGTAATTACCTTCCAAAGGCCCCACCTCCAAATACCATCACATTGTGGATTAGGGCTTCAGTATATGAATTTGGGAATTGTGGGGGGACACAGTTCAGTCTGTAACAGCTGCTATAAGGGATATTTGTCATGGATAATATAAAAAATATTTGTGTACTGGGAAATGCTTGGACCAGATGGTATCTAAGGTTTTTTAGGTTTTAAATTATATAATGTTGCTGTTGTTAACATTTTATCCCTTTTTTTTAATCAGATAAACCTTCTAAAACTAAGAAAAAAAATTTGTTATCTTCCAATGGCTGTAATGAAGTCAAATTGACTTTTCCTGATGATGACTGGGATTCCTTGGCACTAGAGCAAAGAGCTAATGACAAAGAAATCGGCAATATTGACAAAATAGATTTATTGGAGCCATCTTTTTCAGTGAGTCAAAATACTGACATAGAGAGTACTCAGTCTCAGTCAAGTGAATTTGAAGACAGTACTGACTATGCTCCCTTAAATGAAACATATTCTATTCATTATTCAGAGTCAAAACTAAAGCATGAAAGTCTTATTCTTTTAAGTTCACAATTAGATCCTGAAATGCAGAAAAGAAAGGAGGTGTTTTTTGATATTTTGGAACATCAAGGTAGTAAGACTGTTGACTTGGAAAGAATCTACAAGATTTCGGATGGTGAATATAAAGAAACTGCTGAAGATATGCAAAAGCATGATACAGATGAAGACTCACAGCAGGAATATCACAGTGCAGAAGAACAAGAATATATAAGTAACCATTTATCTTTTGATCATACAAAAACATTAAGTATATCAAATCTGGAAGTTGAATTAAGAAATTCAGGTTATGAAGTTAAATGTGCTAGCAATCTAGAAGATAAGCATGTTAAGTTGGAAAGTGGTTCTATCTTTTCTTTAGATTCACTTGATGTTTATGGAGAAGAAGATTCACCTCATGTCTCCAAATTGCAGAATTCTGTCATGTTAAGAGAATATGAACCAAAGGATGAAAAGTGTAAGGAACAAAAGACTAATTTAATGTACCATACAGTATTTGATGACGGTACACTAAGAAGCAGTTCTCTTGGAAACCAGGAATCTCAATCTAAGAGTGGTTTCTTGAACCCTAAAAAAGCATTAAAAACTAAAATTTATACTGAAAAAATGAAATCTCAAATAACTGAAAGCAAAGATTTTTGTGGAAATACAATTGTTGAAAACAAAATATTACAGCACCTTAAAAATTCTAGCACATTACCACAAGACAAAGCTTTAGAAGCATTACTACAACCCTGTAAAGATTGTCAAACTTCCTGGACCTCTGTTTTTGATGATTCAGTAATTTCTGCCTGTGAATATTCACATTATAAAAGCCTACAAAACACCCCCAACCCAGCCTTAGATTTTTCTATTACGCTACCAAGGGTCACAGTCAGAGATATTCAGGCAACAGAAGAAGGTGGCTCCCTAAAAGTTGCCAGTAGCAGTGCCACAAATAAAACATGCCTTCACAATATGGAAGGAATAAATCCTAAATCAGTGACAGATGCAGCAAGTTGTACAGTCACAATTAACCAGACTGTGGATGTTAGCACTGATTTTAGGGCTTGTTTCACAACCAGCAGGGCAACAAGTGCAAGATCTTCTGTAGTATCTACATCAAGCAACACAGAGATTACAATGATGAATAAAAAACGGCCTGGTGAATGGCAAAGTGAGCAACAGAGAAGTGTGGCTTGTAATACAGAGTGGTCATACAGTCAAGACTGTGTAGATACTCAGATGGCTATGATAAAAGGATCAGGAAAATCTCCCTCGGTTGACAGTTTAAAACCTAATGGAAATTTTTTAAATAAGGTAAAATCAATATGATTAATAACAAAATTTTATTTGACTTTATAAAGAGACAGTATGTGCTAATAAATGTTTTTGGTTCATTGATTATATTGAGAGTTTAGTGAGAAAATGCTAGATGAGGGGAAAGGGTGGTATAGATTATTACCAGCTCTATCCTCCCATGGCTGCTATTGCCACAAAGTGAATTAGAAGTTGAATTTTACATTTTATTAATACCAGTTTGGAACTTCAGATAGACCATGTGTTATTTATCATAT